TCTAAACTTTTGGCAATTGCTTCTTTTCTTTTCTTTCTTTGGTTTTTTTTATATCCACAAAATTGTTTCATGCTTAGAGAAATAAATTAAACACTAAAATCCAAATAAAAGTAACACACAATAATGAAAAGAAAAAAGACACAACTAGCAAACTATTAATAAAAAAATAAAAGGAAATAATAATTAGCAAAAAACAATAAAACTTGATGCAGACAACTTCAGTGAATCGTAGCAGAGGCAACTTCTTTTATTTAATTGGTGAACATCTTAATCTGCAAAATACATACAAATAATCAGAAATACATAAGAATAAAAGAGATATAAAGAACAACAACTTTAAAATTGACCATATACCACTTTAATCTCCATGGGTCTGAAACAAATATATATCTAAAATTAATACTATACACACAATTTCAAAGATCGCAGTTTTGTGGAAGATGTGAAAAACTTTTGTAAGATCTAGAGCGAGAGAAAAAAAGTGACGATTAAGAACAAGTTTAATTAAACGACATAAATTAAGTGAGGAAATGAAAAATTGAATTCATATAAATTAAGAGATGGGTGCAAAAGTATCGGTAATTTAAAAGGTAGGAGGTTGTAATTAAACAAAATTAAAGAGATTCTTGGAGAGATTTATGGATTGGAGAGATTTATGGGCCGTAAATTGGAGTTAATGTTAATTGTGGGAGTTGAACCGTTTGTTTGTGGATTAGGGAAAAAAAATCTGAAAAAAAAAAAAAAATATATATATATATATATATATATATATATATATATATATATATATATATATATATGAAATTAAGTAAAAATGGGCCCCCCTAGCAACTATGGGCCCTGGGCGGTCGCCCAGTTTGCACCGGCCCAGGGCCGACCCTGCAACACGCCAAAAGAAATTAGTCAGAATGGTAAACACAACCAACTTAATTAGTCACTTTTTAAATTTACAGTAATAATTTGACATACACTTTTATAATAGTCATAGATATTATAATGAATGGAATGCTAGGTTGATGTTGCATATGATATTTGAATAAAAAATTAATTTTGAAAAGTAAATGATGAGTTAACGATTTACGGAGAAAAAAAAAACATGTATATAGATAATTATGTTCGATTGAATATTGATTTGCTGAAAATAGTTAATAACGTTACGATACTGTAGTAGTGACGAGCCTAAATCGACCCGTTTAGATGTTTAGTTAAATAGTTTTTCATCATCTCAATGACATTATAATACATGCATTTTTGACACTTTTCTGTGTGTTTATGAGCAAATATTAACTAATATACATATCACTTAACTCAATTATTGCAACCAATTGGCTGAGTAAAAGAATAATTAAAAAAAGAAAACTTAAAACAAATGCTAGCTGTATTAGATTTTAGATTTTCTCCTATGAGTAGGTGATAATTTAGCCGTTGATATTTGATAATGTTCTCCTATGAGTAATGTTTTTGTTTGAACATGCAATTAATTTTAAAAACTACACTTATAAAAAATAAAAATGATAGCTTTTATTATGTTTTATTTAATAGGGTACGGTGATCCAGAAAAGTCTGACTTGTATAGCTTAGGAGTTATACTCCTACAACTGAAGTACAACGACTTCAAGAAACTGAGCCCAGCAATGACTTTACCTAATGAAGTACAGAATTATAAGGCAAGTGTTTATGGAAAGAAGAACAGAAGAGCACCGAATTCATTGGGGAGGTCAGGTACCCCTCACGTATCTATTATGGCTCGATTTGAAATAGAAAAACCTAACGTTGATCATGTTGTCCACGAGACTTTACTCGAGTCCGGTTGCACGGTGGAAGATGCAGTGAAGATTACCCAACTTGGGATAAGTTGCACAGAAGAACATGTGAATTCTCGTCCGTCCATTGATTACGTCATAACTACCCTCGAGGAGCTGAAATACTGATAAACAAAAAACGTAGCTATTATGGATCTAGCTTTCTTATTTGACATCCAGTTGTATTAGTAGCTATTATGGATCTAGCTTTCTTATTTGACATCCAGTTGTATTAAACTTGTGTGACGATGAAAATTTTATGTACCTATTGTATTCTCATTTGACTATTATTTAACTATTATTTAACTTGTTTTTGACAATATTTAACCTTGAATCTTATGGAACTTATGTAGAAAGCTAGTTTTGATTCATGAGCATTAACTTATAAAACCATCTTCTGTAAAGAAAATGATATATAGTCTACATAAGCTATAGATACATATAGTATATCCTACCTATTTCGATATTGATCTTTTGACATGCAACAATTTTAACAAAACAACATATAGAACATACCGTTCACTAAACAATAATTGTACCTAGATTCATTGAATGCCATAAATTAATTAGACAACATCAATTATAAGTCGATACGAAATCAGTTATACATGAGACGACATTTTCACATGATTCAAAATCGACATGTTTTTTCACAACTTTGAGATCAAGCAGAGATCTTAGAACTTGCTTCATTGTTGGGCGCATAGCAAACTCGTCACCTACACATTCAAGTGCCAGTGCAGTGATCTTATGCCCATCGGAAGGATCAAAATAAGGATCGGCTTCTAGACTCGGGTGGACGACCGAAAACTTGGGCTTTTTTGAGTCAGTATTACTTGAATCAATTTCATATTCGATAAACTTCCCGTAGGCCCATTGGCAAACATACGGTGCAAGATTTTGCCGGTCTTGTTCGGTGTAAAGTCTCTTTGAAATCAAACTCAGAAGTATAGTCCCAAACGCAAACACATCTTGCTTCTCCGAAGTATTATCTGCGACAAACTTCGAAAAATTAATATAGTGGGGACGCAAATTTTGCGATCTCGAATCTTGATTACACTCTCGTAATATTTAAAAAGATACCTTGATAGTGTGTCGCAAGATCAAGGTAGCCATAGCATCCAATGACATGATGGCATTTATATATCGTCCTATCGGGAACCATCCCACCGGTTACGAGACCGAAATCACATAATTTTGGATTATAATCCTGAAACCGAAATTCAACGAATAACTGTCACATTCATTTACTATTATAGGATACATGCAATTCAAGAACCGGAACAACAATTACACCACCGTACCTTGTCGAGTACTATA